CTTAGGATATAGTCCTTTATATAAAGGATATCGTTGTCTTGATCCATAGTCATTGCATATATATATTTCGCCGCGTAGGTTTTTTTAAGAAAATCATTTTCCTTATTCTTTTAAAAATATTTTGATGCTCACATAAGATACATCAAAAAACTATGTTCCCTAAATTTGATGAATGGTTTTCACAAAATTCACACAGTTTTTCATCTCCAAATTCAACAAATTCACCTCACCATAACTTCCATCACATTTCCGTCAATGACGATCCTTATAATGTAGACTCTTTTCTTAATTAAACTGAAAATATACCTACTCAATGTTGTCAAATTAATGGCTAGTACAATTGAAAGAAACAAAAATAGAATGGAGACGAAGCAAGGTATACCGTAGCAAATCTCTTTAAGACAAATTTCGTCCCTTGCACTAGTTCCAATAGGATAATTGAATATTTGTCTTCCAAGATACAACGTTTCTTTCAAAGTAGATACTGTACTATACAAACCTTGTTCATCAAACGAAAGTATTGATAATATTATAGATTTTTAAGTGACTTTTTGAATGGTTGATTTTTTTAACGTTCATCACACCTTTTCAAATTTATGGTGTAGACTATACCCTATCAAAAGGTTATAACTTTTCAGCATGTACATTTAGACAATCCCCCACACAAATGAAATAAGCCAACAAGATCCAAGGAAGATGAAGAAGAGTATTACTGAAGAATAATGCATCAAGATAGGTACTTTTCATTTCTAATCTTCCTTAGTAAGAATCTATCGGACTCACTTGGCTAATTAGTAAACAAAACATTTTGAACTGTTGGCCATTATTGTAAGCCTAGACAATAGATCAAACATATTATTTTTCATATCGTACTTGTTCTCTATTGTGTTCATTCTTTTGGCCTTGAATTCTATTGGGTTTTTCAAGTATTTTAGAGAATTCGCCTAAGTAAAAACCCTCATTTGAACAGGCCAAATTTGCACTGGCATAGGTGATGTTCTATGAAGAGCGTCTTACAATACTCGTATTGTTTACAAGATATACTCATCATTAAAAGAATATCTTATCATAATCGATCCTTGACAGGCAACATTTATTTACATTATATAAATGAAAAGGAGTTAAAACTCTGAAGTGCTTCTTATCTAGTCATTCATAACTAGTTTTTGTTGTTGAACGTAGTCCCTAAGATCTCCAGTCGTAAGGTTAAATTTTTATTAAATTGACTCATTATATGGGCTTTATACCCGTTTTCCTATATGCGCACTATATATATCTTTAGATACCCCTTTTATAAATGGATCTGCTAAATTATCCTTCTACTTAACAAAATCAATCAATATTGTTGCATTTGAGAGTAACTGTCGTATGGTATCATGTCAGTGACGAATATGTCTCAACTTACTCTTGTACACAAAATTTTCTGCTCTAGGTCTATATAGTTGCTTGATTATGTCGATGGATACATATAGCCGCATAGGTTTTGGCCGTATTGAAATATCTTCTAAGAAATTTCTTAACCATTAAGCCTCCTCTCCTACTTTGTATAAAGCATTAAACTTGGACTTCATAGTGGACTAAGCTATACAAGTTTGTTTAGAAGATCTCCAAGAAATTGCACCACTTCCAAGAGTAAATACGTAGCCACTAGTAGATTTAGATTCATTCGTATCTAATGTCTTGGCATCACTACATCCTTCAACTACTCAAGGATATTTTTTCATAATGTAATGAATACTCTCAAGTACATTTTAAGTTTCTCAACTCTCTAAGTACTCCAATATTCGTTATTGGGATTAATTGTATATTGACTTAGCCTGCTTATTGAGTAGGCTATATATGGCCTTATATAATTCATTATAAGTACATTAGGCTTCCAATTATCTGGAATACTCTAACTGGTCTTTTTTCCTTTGTTTTTTTACGATTTTCAGTATTCTTGTGAAAAACTACATGAGAAGGAAATGGATTATTTGACTCATTAATACCATTGATCTAATTATAACTTGAATTGATTTGGTATAAGAAAAATGGAACTAGAGATCCTTTTATAGATTTTCAAGTGACTTTTCGAATGATTGCATCTTTTAACATAAATCACACCTTTTCATATTTATGGTGTACATTTTATTTTACCCTATCAAAATTTCATGCTTCATAAAAGGGTCATGTTTCATCATACACATTTTTAAAATAGTCACACTCATTCAAAACAACATGACTCTTTGTATGCACAATTTGCTATTTAAGAGTTGCACCCATTGGAGACTTATTCCAATTCATTATAAATAGTAACCATTTATTCCAACACTCGACCTATTAACTCGTCCTCAATCAATGATACGAATGATATTGTTTGAAACTCAACTACTAACTCCTTGTAGTGTCTCAATTCATCTCCTCCAATCACACCAGCATCCCCATGCAATTCTCCATCCTCATTACCTAACTCATGCCCTTCACCTACAAATGCTGTTTCACATCCTTCCATTCCTCATCAATGGTCAATCAGTGACAAACATCCTCCTTCCTACTTTAGAGACTCTCTTCATGATCAACTGTTGAAAATTAGAATGCCATCAACAATATTGCAAAGAAACACAGAATCAAAGTCAGTGTAAATACAATTCCAACACTAATTGTCGAATCCAATATTGACAAGTCACATAGGGGGCTTGAAGTTGACAGTTTGATAACCCAATTCCTTCAGAATAGTTAAAAAAATTGGTATATAAATTATATTCTGATAACTGTATTTTTACACACTTATTTGATATCTAAATATGTTATTTATTGATTAAATGAATAAAATTCTATCCACAATTACGTAATATTTGCTTTTATAAGCTAAAAATCACCCAAGGAAATATAACAAAGCAAAAGAGAGTGAAAAGGGACGAAAAGCACACAAAAATGTGTAGTTGGGGACCAATGTGTACAAGTGCTGAAAGTTGGGGACATCAGGGTGCAATTTTTGGAGGACGTGATTGAAAGAAAAATCAAAATTTGTGGACTAAAATGTACAAGATAAAAGTTGAAGGACCAATCATTCAATTCTTTGGTGACCAAATTGAAGGAGGGAAAAAGAAGGGTAATGCGTGCACGTACGTCTGCAACTAAGGCACATGCCTTTGCTCCAATTTTGAGCAACTAAAAGCCACCAAAAGACTAAGGCACACCTCATTTTGTACTAGGTGCGCGTCTCAGTTTGAAATGAAGGACTTGTGTGTACATTTTAATTTCTTCAGGGCTTCCTCTTGCAATTTGACTAGGACAATTTTTACACTTTTTAACATCATTTTCACCCTTTGGAACCATTCTTCTTCGTCTTGGAAAAAAATCCTAACCTCCTTCTCTTTCTCTTTCTCTTTCACTTTCCTTTTCATTTTTTCTTTCTTTTTCTTTTCTTCGGTAATTTTTGGGGCACAATTTAGAGCACAAGGAGATTCAATTAAGGACTTGACAAAGCTTTGGGAAAATCAGGAGCAAGCGCAAAAAAGGGTTTTATCTACATGTTATATTTTCTCAATTATTTTGTCAAACTTGCAATCTATTGTACAAAATATTCTCCCTTTTATCATTTGTATAAAATTGGCTAAGTTATTAGTGTTGGGATTTATTGTTGTAGTTTAATCTAGCCTTGATTAATTTTAATATCTACCCTTTAATATTGATTTGCTTATTTTTATGTGTTTCTTCTATTGTATTTTATGCATTTTTATTTATGTGGCGAATGAATGATTATATTTAGTGAATTGTACATCGTTCGATAGAAGATTGTGCATTTTAGACCAAACAGTAGAACTAAACTCTAGATTTGTGTAGGGAATAGAGATGTACCCCTAGCCCTATGTGACTTAATGAGCTATTTTCACAAATATTTAATGCAATTGTTTGGTTTTAATCAACATAAAGATATAGTAGGTTAAATAAATCAATTAGGGTTAATTTTACTCGAGAGAGGTAATTAACTAAACTTGAAAAATCGAGTCTAACATTGTAAATGAGTAACTTTTTAATTGACTTGTGGAGAAATTAATTAGGCGACGGTTAAATGAAACCATAAATTTCAACCGCGTTTGCTTCCAAAATTCTCAAGATTTTTATATTTTCTTATTTTATAGATTTTTAGTTATTTTCCAAAATCATAATCTTTATTGTGTGTGTTTCTTTTTATTGTTATAATTAAATTAATTAGAGTTGTGTAATCGAAAGTATACATTCCTCAAGTAACCGACAACCAGGACTCAAAAGGTCCACTTTATTACTTGAACGCGACCTGTGCACTTGTGGTGTAGTATTTTAGCGAATATATTCCGTTAACTAAACACATGTGCGTGGAAATACAAAATAATCACAACTTACTACTGCAAAATATCATATAGAATTTCAATTTTCTAAAACCAACAATATACACGCATGAAAAGGCACACAAAATGTGACTCACTGAAACGTAAAATTTGTAAAAATTAGAATCAGGTGAAATAAAGTAAGGTACGCGATCGCGAATCTTGTTAAGACATATTTTGTTCTTTGCACTGGTGCTAATATAATCAAATTGACATTTATATTTGAAGATACAATGCTTTCTAGCAACTTTTTAAGTTTCCCAAACAAGCACTCAATTTGCAGTCAGACTCATAGTTTGGACCAATTCTTTATAATGAATACTTTTTCATTAATCCAATTCTCTTAATCCATGAGATTTTTGTTTTTCCATTTTCATATTTTATTAAGAACTAGAATATTTGTATAGAAATTAAAATTTTAACAAATCCTTGATTTAATTTAAAGATTTATTACAGAAGGGAAGGAACTTATTGGGTTCCTCCATTGATCATTATGATCATCATACATATGCTTACAACAAGAGACTAGTGTTGCTACAATTCTAAAATTACTACTGCATATTATCACCCAGTTTTGGATGAACGTTGCAGTTTTATTCATGTTGCTAGCTAAGCTTCGGGAATATAATACGACGGCAGTAAAGTTGATCATTACGAGTATAATGACGCATCAATGGAACTTATAGATTCTTCATCCTGCATGGAGCAATATAAAGGAAGTGTTAGGGAAGAAAAACGAAGCTAAAATCTTATTCATTTTAGTGTTATCATCTAACACTATGTACCAAATATGCACATAGAATTTGAATTTTATTTTGAGAAATAGAGCGTATGGTAGGATGGTTTTGTAGTAGTAAGCTATTTTCTCCTCGTGCACTTCATTTTTTCTAAGGAGTGGCAAAATATACAAGTTGAGTGCACGTTAAAGGTGTCTTATGATTCGCCCATGCTCAGAGATATGTATATGCTCGTGCTCATATGCCGACCATCATAGTGATGCATGTTTTTGTTATTCAACATGCATTAGGGAAAGTAGAAGGATTGATGGTACTTAGCCAAATTAAGCATGGAAGAAAATGCCTTAAAATAGAAACCAATCCATGATGACTGATGATTATATGATGGATTTTAAAGTGTTCGTGGTGTTTTGATGGGGTGGGTTGGGGTGGTATATGTTGTATACCTCCCCTGTTACAGGCAGCCCGAGAGTTTCTGCAGTAGGGATAGGGCACTTGGCCACTCTCAATGTATGTGACATCTTCCACAAGAATTTCATAATGCCTCTTCACCTCTTCTGGGGTTTTCTCTCCAACAGCCCTTGCAACTTTGGCCCAACGGTCAGGTGTGTTAGCATCATAAACAGCAAGAGCTTTCTCAAACTCCTTGTTCTCCTGGGCAGTCCAAGTGCCTGAGGCATAGGAAGATATCGAGCTAGAAGCCATTAATTTCTTGGACTGATTAAGTCTAGGAAGTTATAGAACAAAGGATGGAACACTACTATTGAATGTCTACTCCAGAAAAAGGGATGAAAAATGGAAGAACATATAAATGCGGGAACAAATAATTCTAGGATGGATTATTTGTCTTCGACTGAAGAGAGAAGACACTCAAGTGAAGAGTGATGAGAAACGAAAGAGCTGATACGTGTAGAGGAGGTGGCAACTGCCTGAGCTTTTATAAGCTCTGAGAATTCATGGGGTGGGGTCATGCCAGTTGGCCGATGAACTTGCAAAAATTGAAGAATTTTAGTGATCTGTCTCATCAGGAACCACAACTGAACAGGACAAAAGAAAAATATTACAATTTTGAAGAATCTCTATCTTTATGAAAAGGTTGTTCATGCTTGCCCCCCCCCCCCCCCCCCCCTCCTCTCTTTTTTTTTTTTTGTTGACACTAACCATGCCATACGATCGCATGGTTATAGAAAAATGACCGTTTGGTCAGTTTTTGACTCATTTTCATTCAAAAATGGTGGCTTTCATCCTAGCACTTTCTCTTACAGTTTAGTGTCAAAATCATATGATTGTTAGGCATACCTATAAGTGACATTTTTTACTGCTTTTTCTTGAGTGCGCGTGTGTATACCAGTAAGATGACAAGTTTATTCTATGATCAATAGCACAAAATCAATCATATTTTAAGTTGTGAATTTCTCTGTTTAGAATGTAAACTCAGCTTATCTATAGTTGTTCACATGGTTTTTTTATTTGGATTGCTTAATCCTTTCTTAATTAATTAAAAACAGTGACTTAGTTCTTTCAAGTACATGCGTTCCACTGGAAAGAAAAATTCTCTTAAATAGGGCAATGCTATAATACTATAGACTGCAATCACAAGTCAATGACGCTTGTATAATTGCAACATGTAAAGGTCATTAAGAAGAAGACCTTATCAAGATGGAACGGGGATGGCCTGCAAGCACGGGCCATGGCAACGAAATATGTGGCAAACTGGGCTTAGCCCGGCTTGCCTTAATCCCCGGACTGTGTCTCCTCAAACACTGCCAGGTCGAGCCATTCAACAACCATAAGTCCCTAATATCAAGACTATACCTTCCTAGTGTAAAAAACATCTATTCTATTCCTATCAAGAATTGTATCTGCCCTATCAAACTCCGTTTAAATTGCTGTCTTCAACACAATCGATCATGAATTTCCTACTAAAACAATTATGAAGATTTGGTCATGGGCAACTGAAATGCAATTGCAGAATCTTATTTTTTTTACAATTTAAATTTGGGGCTGGGATTTGGTATGAAATTACATTTGTATAGTTTGGTTGATTCATTCTTTCCTACATTTGATGCTTGGCATATAATCTTCTACAGAGATCATGGAATTAAATTCTTTATTTGTGATTTTTTAAGGCTGAGCCGATGACTTATCTTAGATTAATGCCATTTGGCACTAATTTAGGTGTCAACACTTCATAGTTTCAATTAAATGAGTTATTTGACTTTGTATTTAAATAAATCTATCATATTTAATACCATGTAATTATCACCTTGCATTATTCCTTCTTTTATGGACTAATTAATGACTTCATCCAAAATTATATATAAAAATATTTGGCCTACCTTCTAACAAAAAATTGGAACTTATTTTTTTGGGGCCCTCATAAGCTCGAGGCCACCCATTTCTATGATATAGAGGTGTTGGGCTGCATGGAGTCTAATCATACTAAAAACATATTCCCTCGACTACACATCGTCATAGTTTGAGTTAAGGTGCATTTCGGGTTTATCAGTATATTAAGTATTTTATTAATGTGTATGTTTGTCCTAATATGTTTACACTTGTACAAGGAGAGGGCACATTGTATATAGAGCCTTCTCACTGTCCTTCCCTAGAAGTAGGACCTTTGAGGCAAAATGACATGGTTAAGTTAGTTCGAGATTTAAGGGAGTTTATTTCTTTTTTTTTTCTGTGATAAAGACTGAGATGAGTACAATACTGAGTGAAATAACTCTAGGATTGAGAATGAACTACTATAATATTTTATTTTCTTATTTTGTTTTACTTAACATTGATCCTGTAATCAGGATTAAGGCTTAGTCCCTCCAAGAAAGGACTATTTGAATGTTCAAAAGAGAACATGATATTATTGTAGCAAGTGGAATAGAGTAGTCCCAACCTATATATGGTCCTAATCTAATGTCGGTTGAAAATCTTGCAAGATAACTAGAAGATCTGTAAATTTCCTAGTCAAAATATTACAAACAATTAGGAAAAGATATATTTTAACTCAAAACATTGCTACCAGACCTTGCTACATGTTTATCAAGTTTTACATAATGTCACATGTCATTCTATTATTTGTCAATTAAAAACACAATAAAATTTTTCATCAAATCTTTTCCCTACACATCATTCTATGTAATCCATTATATACCATTTTTATGTGTAAGTAGCATAATCTCTGCAATTAATAACTAATAGAGATAAAAATTCTTGCAGTACTCTTTTTCCATGCCTGATACCTAGAATGATGACGGATCATGAACCCTTTCCAATTCTCATCTTCTGTTCTCAGTTCTTCTTGAATTTTTCTAAAAGAAGATACTAGATGTGAGTGATATCCAACATCATACAAGTTGTGCTTATTTGCATCTATTAATCTTTCCTAGAATTCCAAAACTACTTCCTAAAATGATAATTTTCATCAAGTAGCCTCCTCAATGAATAACTAAGATCAAACACTGTAATGGTCTGTTTGTTATGTTCGTTAGTTTGATTTGACATGACAGAAGAAAAGAAAGTAAAGATCTTTCATAGTATCCTTCAGTATTGCGTACGAAAGTTACCTTGAGAAAAAGACTTATATTTGAACTCAAAACGTTGTTAATACTACTTAGGTATGAAGATTCTTGCAGTAAAAGTTGTTACTCCTTTCAAGCTTGATTCATAGAAAATAGTATATATCGAAATAGATTGTGAGTCTTGAATGTTGAGAATCTGGGCCTATTTTAAATTTCTCAAAGTGAACCTTCGCGCCACGTAGTCAACTAAAACTACTTCCCAAGATATAATTGGCTCATTGAGAAGTCTTCATTACAAGGGTATAACATATAATAAGCATAGCAATGACCTATTCTAGAGGTTAAATCTTGGCGCCGTGTAGTCAAACTACAGCATACCAATCATATTTTGAGGAAATGGCTTGTCATTGAGATCAAAATGTTGCCATTATGGGCTAGAGACGAAGATTCTTGCAGTTAAAGTTGCTAATCTTTTTTGTGCTTGTTGCATAAAAAATCTGATGAAATGGAAAGGGATTGTGGACCCTTTTATACAAGTTGTGAAATGATAGAATCTGCATATATGTAGGGTGGTCCTTCTCATGAGTTGGGTCCAAGCTTAGAGCTTCTTTGAATAATCTAATGACAGCAATATTTGTATGATATTCATAACTAAATACTATCATGTCATGATTATTTCAAACGTAATTAGGTGTGTAAAATGACTTGGCATGTCTCCTGACGGAGAACCCCAAGATGACCCATGCATGGCCAGGGATTTGAGCTGGCCAGTTTAAGCCCGGTTTTCCCTCTTTTTTTGTGACTTATCTCGAACCTCTGGCAGGATTGTGCATTGTCCTACTAACGTGGCTTGTGATTATTGTGCATTGAACAATAGTATTGCTCTATCTGAGGAGTTTTTTTTCCTCTAGTTGAAAATATATTCTAATGAAGTATTTAAGGTAGTCCAGAACTTAAAAGAGGATTGATCTTGTATTGATCATAATATCTATTTATAATTCTAGTGCCCTATATACTTGTAATTAATTTTCTCATTTTTGTTCTCATGAGATATAGTTTGGAGAAAAGTAGCTAAAAGCCACTTTTAAGCACAAGTGTTGCTTTCTAATGTTTATATAAATCAAGAATAATCATATGATTATGACACTAAACTGTGAGAAAACAAATGAACTTTATTGATAAAAATGCAAAAAGAAAAAACTTTTTTCATGAAGATGAAGATTCTTCAACGTTGTACTATTGTTCCTTATCCTGATTTAGTTGCTTAACAAGACAAATCAATAAAATTCTTCACTTTTTGCAACTTTATAGGCCAACTGGCATGATCCCACCACCATACCACCCTCGGTTCTTGGAGCTTATAAAGATCAAGCAGTTGATACCTCATCTGAACAAATCAACTCTTGGTCAGTTTCTCATCAGTCTTGAATTCAGTCTTCTCTCTTGAGTCTAAGACAAATAATCCCTCTTAGAATTACTTGTTCCTCATACATTCTTCCATTTCCTCACATTTTTTCATAGTAATATTCTATTGTTTAATTCTCTTAGTGTATAACTTTCCTTATCACTTAATTTGTCACTAAAATCTTCATCTCGCGAGAAATTAATGGCATGTAGCTCGATATCATCATGTGGAACTTGGACCACTCAGGAGAGTTGAATCCACATCAAACTGCCATGGATGACCCAATAGGATATGCAAGCATCCATGTCTATGACATCACACATAATTTCATCCTTATAATGTTCACCAATGGACAGGTAATTTGCAAGTTTCAGTAACTTGAACCGAAGGAAATTTCTTTACCCAACCAAGTGAATAAGGTTTAGGATGGTTCTCAATTGGTAGTTTCAACAAATTCACCAACATTTTCGACACAAAATTCTCACAACTTCCGTTGTCCACGATCACTTCACACTTTATTCTTGATAGAATAAAGTGAACGAAAGATGCAATGACGCTGTCCCTCTTTCTTAGGCGACAAAAGGATTCATTATAGTACCAAATTGAGCCTTTCTACTCTTTTCTCCACTGCAAACTCTACTCCCACATATTCATCTTCCACTTCAGTATCTTTTTCTTCATCCACTGCCTTCGATTCCACCAAATTGACCCGCTTCCTCTCAGGACAGTTATTGGAGTGATGCCCAAGCTTTTGACATCTATAGCAAATTTCTCCTGTG